AGAGAGAGAGAGAGAGATTAAACTTTTGATGATAATGCACCATAAAAATTTCATTTTATGGAAACATTGAGTGACCACAGAAATTCATTTGTCAAGACATCACCAAGAAATATAGAACAAAAGAATTTTTATAGTGAATTATCTCCAAATCTTAATTTTCTATTTTATCACTTTTTTTTTCATATATATAGACACACACACATATAACTAATCCTTTCACTGGCTTGCCTTTGAAACATTATACTATTATACTATACAGCCTGAAATATAACACCCAATTTGCATTGCTTTCATATTCAAATATAAAGTCCCCACTTATTGTTTTAGGTCTAGGTTTGAAGCTCGACAAATTTGGATGTGACATGAAATGCAACCATAACTGAAGCACTAAAGGTAGTTTTTGGAAGAACACAGGTTAAGGTATAAGAGTAAAAACTTTTCAGGATTTGTGTAACATTAAAGTTATTCCTCTCTGTCTCTCAGTTTAACACATGCTTAACCAGGAAAAACTTAAGTTTATTAACATATTATAATTAAAACAAAGTTAAATCTCATCTCTTGTTTCTAAAGTCTCTTGCATCTAACTGGTATAGGTCAAGAAAGAAAACAGAAACGTACTTGTCACCAGCCTTGTATTCTTGGGTTATTAATTACCATATGATATGTTCTACTGTCATCTACTATTCTTTCTAAGGTTCGGAAATACCAATCAAGATTTGAATTGAGAAATTTCATAAATGTTGCAAAGGGGAAAAAGAATAAAAAAAAAAATACAAGCAAATTTTGTAGTGAATGTTTTCAGAAATTGCATAAAATATATTTTTTCAACTTAGAAGACAATCAAACTACCTAATAAAAAAATATTATTATCTGCAGACAAAAACATTTTTGATATATCAATGCTTTTGTGAATTGTTTTAATAAAAAGATCAAATTTACCTTTTTTTCTTGTAAGTGGCCCATTTTGATTAGTCAGTCTTACAGCTGATAAAACTGGCTAATTAGTTAGTCAGTCTTACAGCAAATAAAAAAGACAATAACAAAAACATGTTGAACAAAAACGAACTTACAACTACAGAAGCAGTCTTTACAGTGGCTTGTTGGTTCAATAATAGTTATTTGACAAAGAGTCAAATACATTCTTTGTTTTTCCATTATTTTTTACTGTTCAACCAATTCTGATGATTATGAATTCACTGTGGCGTACAGGTTGATTACAAAGCTTACATATACATTCATCAACACTTGACATAGAGTAAGGTTTTATACAAGCATAATGCTCAGTAAAAATGGAGAATCATTAAATGTTTGAGATTAAATATCTCAGCTGACAAACAGGACAAGAGTTTTTGTATATACAGTGGGTCCCTGTTATATGTTGTATCACTCTGCATCGTTTTATTATTAGAGCATTCATCAATTACTAACCATGTATCAAACAACATTGCCTTGTTTCATTACTAGAGCATTCCAACATCATTGACTACTTTTCCAGGTGTAGTTTTTACCATTTACTACCAGTATTTTTGAAACAATGTCGCCTTGTTTCATTACTAGAGTGTTAACCCTCTCTGCCCAGGCATCCTTTACTGCACATGTCACAAGGGTTTTAGTGAGTTACACTCAAAATTTAATTAAAATACTTTTTGTTTACGTTATACCAATTAGTATAGCATAAAATTCTAGATTATAATCCATGTTTTAATAATATACAAATTTTAAGTTCTTGACTTTATAAGGCAATATTAAAAAATAATAATCCTGAACTTCCCTTAGTATGAGAAATGAGACATTTTTCTCTAGTCATTCCCTCTTCTCTAAATATATTCACACCCCTCCAATAAGTATGAAATTTAACAAAAATTTACTGTATGACTACCTTACCAGGCTTAATGTTCACCAATTACTGTGCAGTAATGTACTGTACTACCAATATGTGTGTGAAGCAATGTTGCCTTGTCAAGATGGCAGAGGATGTAAACATGTTTTGTTCATATGCATGTTTTGTATAGTATATCCATATTACACCCTTCAAAGAGTTTATTCAAAAGTGGACCAAAATTATTCAGGAACACATCCCTCCATAATACATGTAAAGATTGTGTTGCTTAACATCATTCTAGATGTACATCTCACTTTCCAGAAACACATCATGATCTATAATAGGGACCCTCCTGTACTGGCAAAAACTTTAAGGTTGAAACACTGTATAGTGAAGCAAAAATGAGTTTTCTTTGGCACATTATTAAGCTTTAGGAATCTCCAATTAATGATTTTTGTAACAATGTTATTAATGATAGAATGGTATATCTTCTGTAGAATATACTATTAATGTTCAATATTCATTATATTTTCATGAAATAAAAATTCAAAGTGTAATTACATTAAAGTTTACTTAAGCAAAATTTTATGATAATTACCATACAAGCTCTCCAAATAAAAATTATCAATCAAATCTTGAAGCCTTCTAGAATATAATTCAAGGATCATGCACACATTATAAAATCAAAATTCTTATTCAATGTTCATTATGGATCATGATGTTGACTGGAGAGTCAAAAATGTTAAAAATTAAAGAACTAATCCTCATGGTTATTCAAGTTTCTGCCACATGCTTCTTTGGTTAATGAAATAAAAAAAAGCAACATTATCTATTGAAAAACTGAGATTTGTAACATAAAACACACAGAATTCCAGTAAAATGTGGTAATGAAACCCGAGTGGACCAAGATAAAAAATATGTAAGCAACTGGAGATGTTACCTTCTATAATAGTTCCCACTTGTTTTGCATGATATAAGTTCTTTGAAGCCTGACTGAGCACAGGCTGGTATATTTCCACTGACCTATACATACAAAAAGATTACCTTTAGAACATATACATCTTAATCTTGAAGAGTAAACTTATTTTGTTTCTTGAAACTATTCAGTTTTTTCCATATAGACTATAATCGTTGTTAAAAGTGCAAACCTATAATTCATAAACATACAGCAAATGAAAGCACCATTTATTAAAAACAGATGTAAAAATATACTTGATTCAAGGTAAAACTCCCAATCATACAATTTTCTAAGAGCTTTAAAATTATAGCATTGAATATTTTATATTAACACTTTTTAAGTAAAGAGCTGAAAGAGATTTTATGTAATATCATCATTGTCAGTCTTCATTCGTAGGTGCCCAATGCACACTTTCAACAAATTCATTTACAAAAAAAACAGAAATTTGTATTTATATTTTGAACAAGATAAAAGAAATAGAAATCATTTGTCTTCTTAGCATTCAAAAATATGCTGAAAAAAAAAAGAGTGAGGTTAAAGCAATAGAAATATAGAAATGAGTGTCCACGAGTATTAAAGTAATAAAAAAAGAAAAAAAAGTAGGTGCGGAGAAGAAATATGAGAATTCTTAAATGTTGGTAATAATGGGTCCAAATGTTCAATAAACTATGTGCAACTGAAAACTAGTTACAATAGTGTGCAATTCTGGTTACTGTGTGAAAGTTTCCAGACCCAAGTTTAAAAAACAAAACTCTTTAAAGTCAAAGAAAAGAAGATAGACATTCAAGCATCTAAAAAAAATTGCAGTAGTGGTCTTAAAAATAAATATAAAATGGTATTATAATCAGAAGAAAAAAAACTAGGCTTAGAAGAATACAATGGTTTCATCTTAGTCCAAAATACACAGAAATTGATAATTGAAATGAAAAACAAATGAAAAGTTAAGAAATAAAATCTTACAAAGAAACACCAGGTTTGTAACAAAATTAATCTAAGGTTAGTACCAAGTCACAAAAATTTACTACAGATCAAAATTAGTTTTAAAAAAATCCATTACAGCATCACAAAATCAGTGTATTACTCTCCTTCAAAGGTTATCATAATAAGATATAACTCGAATTTTCTACTTCAACTAATGTTAAACTTAAGAACTACAAAATGCAAAGTAATAAAATTGGTAAGTAGCTACATATGGTAGCTTGAAAAAGAATGAGCACATCTTCAACACGTATTTTAAAGTTCTATAAAATGCTACATAGGTAAAATCCAGTGACATAACTCCAAAAGATGGGCCCCCTATATTTATTTCCCAATAATTGTAGTTGTGGCTTGGCTCAGACCCCCCATGGTAACTGTGACATCTGCAGGGCATACTTACATCATTCATAAAATTCAAAGATTTTTTTATGCAGTCATAGATAACAATTAGCATATCCAACACCATTTTATAATTTTATTTCAATATTTAAAAATGAATAATGTAAATTGATGAAAATGGAAGTTCAAATATACACAGAAACATCCTGGTCTGACAGTTGCTTAACAAGCTATATCACACAGAGTATCCAAATCCAAATGTAGCTATGGATCTCGCACTCCGAGTAGAATACACAGCATGGTCACAAGTAAATAGACACCACCTTTTCAGAAAAAATGAAATTTTTCTGTCATATTCACATGAATTGATATATTTATAATTTAATTAATATCTAGTAGATCTTCCTTTCGCTTCGTGGAGTTCGTTGATCCTTTTTCTGTCATATTCACATGAATTGATATATCTATAATTTAATTAATATCTAGTAGATCTTCCTTTCGCTTCGTGGAGTTCGTTGATCCTTTTTCTGTCATATTCACATGAAT